ACGTCACGGCCACCGTCGGTATCGCCCCGGTCGCGCACCGCTCCTACCGCACATCGTTGCAGCTGTCCAACCGTCACCAGTTTTACACAGTACGCGGTTACGACCACACTATTCCGGTACAACCGCCACTGCCACCGTCACCACTACCACCTTTCGGCCACCGCCGCCGTCGCACACCTTCGTTTTCGCGTCTAACCATCAATTTTTACACGCGTACTCGGTTACAGTGATTTTTTAACAAATATTTTCTCATCGGCTAAGTTTCGGCTTGTTCGGTGTGGCAAATATTGTATATTTACGCGGACTATCAAGACCGTGTAATTTTTCTACCGGCAACCGAATCTTCGGACGCCACCACACGGTTTTTGGTATTTGTCTGAAGCGCGCGCGTTAACCGCTGACGCCGTTCGTCGGGTGACACACAAACGCATTAACTCACGACGCGCATCAGTAACGCCGTGTGCATTAATCCGGATTTTTTTCTTACGTCCATCAGACAATAAAAAAATATTAAAAAATGGTGAGTTATTCAAATCTTATTTTAGTTGTGATTAGTAAATATATTTTTACCAGAGTTTTTTCGTGTTACTTAATGTTGTCTGAACGCTTTAATTACTGAATAGTATTGTTTTTCATTATTAAGAATATCTTTCCAAGCGTGTAGTAATTCTTTACTGCTATCAGTAAATGTGTTACAATGTCAAACATGGCGTCATCGCCATTTTTCATCATTCACCGGCTATATTTCGTTATTGTGCTTTTAAGCGTTTGTCAACCCCCGCAAATTCAACTATTTTGTCTTGCTAGTATCATAAAATTCGAAATTCCCTCCCCTCTAACCGACTGAATCTGTCGCGGCCTTGACCTGCCGCTGTACGTGAATCGGTTCGAATTATTTAACAACCCTAAGTGTAAGAATTGATTTTATTAATTTCTATGTTGCCGACATATCAGCTCCCGGTTCCCCGTTTTAATGACTAAATATATAAGAAATTTTTATATACCGTGTCGAAATGTTTTATTTTAAATGACTCGTCTCGCCGTTGGCAAGTAAAAAAAAATCTTCATTGGGTTATGTCATTTCCCCCATAGTCCCACCGTAAAAGGAACCAAACGCCATCTAGCGTTGGCGTTTCATGTACCCTCTCCTTTTTTTCCTTACTAAATGCCTGTTTATTATTAATTCATTGAAACTATGATTTCTACCTTACGAGTACGTTTAATTGTATTTTTGCATATTATTATTTATTTCATTAAATTAATATTGTTTTTTTCTTTTTAATTGTTAATATAATATGAGATATGATAAATCAGAATAAGATGTATTATCATCTATGTGATGCATATACTTTTTTTTACTAAACAACGGAAATAAGAAGGCAATTTTTAAAAAATGTTTCGACATATGTCTATTGTAATATTTTAATACAAATAATTTTAGCTTTAGAAAGTCGTAAATTTTCAATGAATTATTCTTTAAAAAAAATATAGTAGAGAGTGGATTTATATGTATTTACAAATTTTGTTATTTTAAAAGGAGTCAATTTTAAATATTTTTTTTTGTTAGGCACATGCAGTTGCATAGATATATTTTTCGTTTTAGAAGAAAATAAAGTCCTCTGATTCTTTCTAAATTATAATCTAAGTTAGATAACATTATTAAGTTTCCAAGCCTATAAATATTAATTGGTACTGGTGGATGATGTGTTAGGAAAATCTTATAAATGCTTATAAATCTACTCTATTCATTAGTTTCCGTTGCTATTAGTTTTTATAACAAGTTAAAATTTATGATTTTACACAATATATTTGAAAACTATTGTGATCTTTAGTTTATTGTTTTGGTAGTTTTTCAGAAGTATTATTGAATATTGCTTAAAAATTAATTTTGCAAATTATATCTAACAAGATTTTTCCTATTTATTAAACTTAAATGTTTTAATATTTCCTCTGTTTTTATTTAAATATGATGTATTCAAACATTTTATTATTTCACAAATTGTATTTAACTCGATAAGCTTTGATAAATAAATATGGCATTTTACATTATTTGAAGTAATTTACTACTTATTTTTATTATTATTATTTTAACCTTTTATAATTTAGTTTGTTTTTCTATAGTAGTAAATTTATGCCCTATCTTTTAGAAGTATATATTAGTATTTATTTTAATTATGGTCAAAGTTAATTTCTAACTTTATAATTTTTTAAGCAATATTAAATACTATTGTCTTATTTATATTATAGTTATAAATGACTTCGTAGTATATTTCATATACTATGAAATATAAATCATATGGTACATTATAATTCAATTCTGAATCCATTAATATATTTTGTCATAGTAAAATAATAAAATTTATCTTCCTAATTTTCATTTATGTTTTTAAAACTTACTAGGAATATTTTTTATTTATTTAATAATAGGCAATACTAAGATTCACATGATAAATAATTGTTGACAAGTACATAATTATATAGGAAAACAGTTTAATATTTATGAAAAGAATAAGGTTATTCCATGTTTAATTCCTAAAATATAATTTTCTCAGCATTTAAACTAATTTTTATAAAGTGCTTACATGAGATAAGTAAATAATTAATAGATTTTATGACAATATGAGCTTTTTTGAATTGACATTCAAACTGAATTTTTCTTTTTATTTTATGTAATTAGATTTACTTGTTAATCCAATAGCGTATACAATTTTATTTCTATTATTTATAGATATAATTATTATAATAATTATTTCTCTATAAAATAGTTGTTAATAAAATGTAATTTTTTTATTTTCATTTGATAATTTATTACTTATCTACTTGTGATCTTAGTGACATATCTATATATCTATTTTTTGAATTGTATTTTTTTTTAATTGTATTTAGAACTAAGGAAATTGGGCATAAGTTTTTATAAGTCTGTTTGATCTTCAAGGCATTCATCTTGTCCTACAATCTATATATTTATACATTTCTAATATTTGTGAATTATTACATTTTTCTTTTAGTTTGATTTAAGTAATATCTATATTTAAATTGAATATTTGGCATGTTTTTTTAAGTATTAATTAGGGGTTATCAACATGTTATTGCCTAATATACTCTGTTGGTATTCCTTAAGATTTTTATTATTAAATTAATGTTTAATGAATGCTGAAAACTTATTTTTTAAGTCGAGTCCTTAGTTAATTTATTTAAAAAAATTGAATATGAAATACTAAGATTTTTTTAAACTTCGATTTAAAATTACTTATATTTTGAATTGAGTTTCATAAAAATACTTGCTGTAATTATAAAAACGTTATGATAATATTATAACATTTTTTTTATGAAAAATTTCCATCAGTTATTTAATTTTTTTATTTAAAAGATTATGTGAACTTATAAAAAAAAAATGTATTTTGTATCTTTAATGAAATATGAGTGATATATTGCAAAAAAATACTTTACATTGTACAATAATTTTTCAAAAAAATTTATCTAGAAGTTTTTATAGTGTTTTTATGAAGGCCTTGAACTCATATAATGCTCAATTTTTTTTATGCTAATGAATATTTTATCATAGATTTTTTATAAAGTTTCTGTTTTTCTTTTTTAATTTTTGTTGTTTATGTTGTTAGGTATTGGAATTTTATTAAGTATTTCTACGATGTAGAAATTATTTCTTAATTCAGATTATGATTCCTATTGTTTCTTATGTAGATGGTAGCTTTTTTTTTAATTGAACATAATTGATGTGATTTAATTATCATTCATTGTACTAATGAAAAGTCACTGGCTAGTTTTTAGTAGTTATAAGATATTTTTCTTTAAACTTCAAAAATAAATCAAACTAAATATAAATTAATTTATTATATTAGTGTTCAGTAAGAATAATGTTTCTACTGTATTTATTGTTTGTAATAATTGTCTTGTTTCACTATTTTTTGAACACTGACTAGTAAAATTATATACATTATAATTTTTTTTTTGGGATAAAGGATAATTACAAAATTTATTTTTTAAAGTTATTCAAGATGTTTTCTTTAATGAATTCATTGTAAAACAGTTACAAACTTGCCAAACTTTACATTGGGTTTACAGGTGAGAGAGTTCGAATCTCTTTCAAATACATAAATTAAGATAATGATCCTCAACTTGATATTTGCTTATGACTTTTATTATCATTTTTTCATATATTTTATATGATAATTAAATATTAGTAATTTCCAATAAAGCTTTTTAAAGTTTTTTTTTTATTTACTGTGTTTTTATATTTTTAATTATTATGATTATATTTTCATTCAAAATTCTTGTATGTGTGATTAAAATATGAATTTATACTTAAAGAGGCTAGTTGACAACATTGTAATAGCATCAAAATGTTCTACCCATATAGGATCCGATTTTCATACCCTCGAAACTTGTTGCAATATTTCTACAAATTGCTCTTTAAAAATTATAATGGTAATAAATGTTAATTGTCGAGTTGTTATAATACTGTGTATTAAAAGCTATATAAAAATAAAAATACAGAATATCTTATAGGTTTTTTAATTAATCAAAAAAATTGCTGATTGTTGGAAATACTGTTTTAGTTTTTTTCATTAAAATAACAATTTTTTCACTTTATAATTATGATATATTTCACATAATAAAAAGCTGTATTTATAATATAAAGAGCAAATATACTATAATACAATTATAATAAATTTGTACTCTTTTAAAATCCATTAGTCTTTTTTAAGTACAAGTGTTAACTTATTATAGTTTTAATTTTGATTCAAAATTTTATTTTTTCCTTGACATGCAAGTTTTTTAAAATAATATCTCTTATAGAATTGTCAAGAGTCTAAAGAATTATTTTATTGCAAAATTAAATATATGTTTTTAATATTTTTATTAATTTTTGTTTACATTTATCTTGGTCAAGAGTTCATAGGTTTTAATCTAATTGATGCAATAGGTTTATGATACAGTCTAAAATTAAGTTTTTATATTTAACCTTATTAATTTTTTAGGCTGATCAATTAACAGAGGAACAGATTGCTGAATTCAAAGAAGCTTTCTCACTTTTTGATAAAGATGGAGATGGTACTATTACCACAAAAGAACTTGGAACCGTCATGAGATCTCTAGGCCAAAATCCTACTGAAGCTGAACTCCAAGATATGATTAATGAAGTTGATGCTGATGGTAGAAATAATATTAATATATAGAAAAAATATTTAGCTATGTGTTGTTATATTTTATTATATATTTTAGGTAATGGAACGATAGATTTCCCCGAATTCTTAACTATGATGGCTCGCAAAATGAAAGACACAGATAGTGAGGAAGAAATCAGAGAAGCATTCCGTGTATTTGACAAAGACGGAAATGGCTTTATTAGTGCAGCTGAATTACGTCATGTCATGACTAACCTTGGTGAAAAACTCACCGATGAAGAGGTTGATGAAATGATCAGGGAAGCTGACATTGATGGTGATGGTCAAGTCAACTATGAAGGTGAATACTATTAGATTATTATTAATTAATTAATTAATTTTTTTTTGATATATTGATTTTTTAAATTTGTATCATGCACTAATTTTTATGTTGATATATAGTTAGTTTTTTACTTACGGTATATTTTAAAAAATTAACTTAAGTGAATGTTTCTGTTCTCTCTTGTCTAACTATTTTTCATTAATTTAATTGTCAAATGTGGAAACATAAATGTAAATACTAATATTAAAAACATTTATTTACATCTAGAATGTTTAATAAATGCATTAATAGTGCATTCCTTTTTTATTTAAAATATATAGTATACTTATGTAGGTATTATTTTACTGATTATTTATTAGGTTATAAATATTAGCTGTAGCTAAAATAGAATGAGTGAAAAAATATTCTATTGTTTTAAAACTGCTTTTAAATTGTAAAAAAATTATAATGAAAAAGTGACTGGATTATTATGTTTTGAGTAAAAATATAGCAAGTTATGTTTTTTTAAATACTCTTGACACTGAGAAAATGATTGAAGAAATGCATAGTTAAATTTTTTATTACAATAAGACTTAATTTTAAATTACCTTAATCTAATATTTCTAGTTTGTAGGTTAACGAGAATCATTATTCATATTTTAAAAAAATTTTAGGATTCAATTTTAACTTATTCACAATACTATATGACAAATTATTGTAATTAAATTCACAATTGATTGTTTGTTTATATGGGATTAAGGATAAGACACTCATTTTCTTAGAAACTATTGAAAAATTTTAAATCTTTGTGAAGGAAAAAATAGTTGGATACATAGAACATACAATAATATGTAGTTCAATAATTTTTTTTGATCTCTTCAGAGTTAAAAAAATTTAAATTATATTTTTTTAATGGATTCCAATTTTTAGTTTAATGATATAATACAAAAAAAAAAAAAATTTAATAACTTTGTTTTTATAATAGTTTTTATTCAATTAAGTTTTCTTCTGTTGTTGCATGTTGAAGTTAAGCAGTTTTTGGTCAATTTTCTTTTGATATTTTACTGTTTAACATATAGTAGTCATCTTATCTTGATGATGTCACATGAATAAGTTTTTATTGGTAATTATTGTTATCTATTACTTATGATTGTAGAATTAATATCTTATGATTATTTAAACAAAAAACTAAATTAATGATGAATTTATATTTTTAATATAAACAGTCTAATGCAAATGGTTGATTGTCGGATAATAAAAATAGTAAGAAGATCAAACATTTTTTTTTCTATCTTTAAAAAAAAATTATTTATTTACATATAGAGTTTTTCAATATTTTTCTTTACAAAAATTGAAAAAATTTAGAAGTTTCTGAGAAAATGAGTATCTTATTCTTCATTGTTACCTGTATATTATTTATAGTGCATATTGATGATAAATTTCATAAAAGATTTATTTCATAATTTTGTAACTATTCCCGTGCAGTCATCAGTTGTTCTTAGGTATTTATGTAGGTAACCTTAAACTTGAAATTTAAATAAACAATAAGATTATTAATTCAAAAATATTGAATATAAATTTAAACACAAGAATTTAGTTATAATATTGAAATAATTTTCTTGAAAACAATTGTTATGATTATGTTCATTTATGATAGGGTATTTATGTTATTATCATTTGGTCATAATTATTATTAAAGCACGGAAAAATTATTCTTCATTGCTTTATTTAACATTTTTAAACTATTGAAAGAATATATTTTAATTTAACATTTACAGTGTTATAATATGATATCATAATAATGAATTGTTAATACCAAAGACTGCCTTTCAATATTTTTCGGATAAGGGCTCAAAAAATAATTTGTATTAGATATATTTCAATTNAGACTGCCTTTCAACATTTTTCGGATAAGGGCTCAAAAAATAATTTGTATTAGATATATTTCAATTAACATCTAAAAGTAATATCATGTTATTATAATATGGATAAATTGTAGTTTGGGATTTCATCCATAAATCTGTCTCTGATCAAAGTTTAATTTTTGTACATAAATATGATATAAAGTCTTTAAAATAAATTCAACAACCTTATTCATTCAATATTAAAATTACACTAAACTTGTGTTTATTAAACTATCAATGTAGTAAGTAATAAAAATAAGTAAATTATAAATAAATATCACAATTATTCATAATATATAAACAATTTTTTTTCTGCCTAAGCTCAGTACATACTTTTCAATTAAAGAACAATTATTTTTTTTTAATTTGTCCTTGTAAATATCACGCAAAAATTATTAACAAATTACTCTTTAAGTTTTGCTTTGTCAAGATAGTGAAACTGTTAAAATTTTACTTATTTTTTTACATTTATTTTATTAGTATGTTAAAAGTAAATAATCTATTTATTTTAAATAAGATATGTAAATTAGGTTATTTCATCTTTTTTTTTAAAAAAAAAAAAAGTAATTCATTATACGCAATTAACGTGTTTGCAGATTTCCAAATATTAGCCCGGAGCATTTACTTACGTGTTATGACTCTGGTCAGTGTTATCTATTTATTTGTGCTTTTGTATCCATTCTTCTATAGTTGTATTGTAAATTGGTAGTATATTACTCTAATATTAAATTATTGACATTGACTCACACTTAATAAATCTGGGCACAATGTTATTTTTTTAAATGGTTATTTTTTTTTTTATACACCTACAAAAAAAGGAAATTGTTTTTGTCTACAAAATTTTAATATAATTTCACATAATATTAGTGCAATGTTTTTCTTCTATCCATATTTTCATCCTTAAGTTTCCTCTGTTTGTAGCTTATATATCGAAATTGAAAAATCAAATGGAGCTGTATATCTTGCAAGGGAAAAAAATGATAAAAAACAAAACAATGCTTTAAATTTTTTCTAATCCTATCAATTATTCTTTTTTATCCACGAATACTTCTCTTTGTATGGTGAATATTGTTTGTGACATGATATACATATTTTAATAATTTTAATAATATACAATAACATATTACTTACATTATTTTTTTTGTTACAGAGTTCGTGACCATGATGACTTCTAAGTGAAATGTGTTTCATTATTAATAATTATTATTATGTAATTTTTTTATCATATTATATGTAATTTTTTTTTGAAGAAAAAAACTTATTTGCATTTTTTTGTTCGAATAAGCTTTAATGAAGATGTGATTTTAAAAGTAATGTCTTTTTGTCACATTTTAAACTTAATGAACATTTTTTTTTTTTGAGTTAAGACGTTCATTTAACTACTATCACTGTAAGATTAAAGTATATTTTTATTTTATTTTAATTTTCACTTGAAGCAGTTTTTATTTGGCAGTTGTTCTGCTATGTAAATTTTTTAAAAAAAAAAAAAAAAAATGAAAAGAGAAAATAATAATAATAATAATCACAGACGTTAACAAAATATTATTCTTTTTTTATATTATATTAATGTTTTAGTTTTTTGCTAGCCAGTTTTGTCTTATTAAAATATTATACTTACATTATGGTAATATGATGAAAAAATAATCTTAAGTATAAATGAGAGATTATATTAAAGTATATTATAAATAATTTGTTGTTTTACACTTAAAACATAATTAAAAATCTTGTAATTTTTATGGTTAATTATAATCTCCAATGTTTTAGTAATTTATTATTATATTATTATTATTATTATTATTATTATATTATATTATATAAATATTAATTATTAAATATTAGGGACGTTTTCACATTCCTCACACCCAAAAAGTATACATGTGTATATATATAAATATTTACTGGAAATATATATATATAAACTGAGATACCAATCAATTAAAACAAATTTTTACAAATAATTTTGGCATGATATTAATTAGCCTATTGTATTTTATTTTATACAATTATTATTATAATTATTATTTTTAAAAAGTATATCAAAAAGACACATTAAAAATTTTATTTGTTCACTTGTAAAAAAAAAAATATGAAATATAGAGACATTGTTTTCTTTAATCCCATTTAATTCATTCAAATAGATATATTTTTTGCACATTTGTCACAAACATTTATTTGGTGAACTGATAATATGTAATATGCATATTTTACTACTGTATTTACTTCAGTAGATGTTGAATATAAATTCTAAATATTTAACATATATTTAAAATATTAAATTTCATAAAAAACAACCATTTGAGTTCGAAATCTATATATATATATATAATGGTTGATAAAGTTGAATGTAGAAATAAATCTTTAATGCATATTATATAAATAGTTAATGAGTAATTTATTTTATCAAAGTAGCAATTGCTTACTGGTGGTGGTCACCGATAAAATAAAATAAGAATTTCTAAGACTTATATTTTTTAAATACTTGATATTAAATTGCAATTCATTTTCTAAAGGGTGATGTGCATTAAATTGCGACAATATCCTGGTTAGTTGCTGTATTAAGCATTGATGTTAGCTTATTCTGCTAATTCACAATAATTGCCCAATTTTATACTTACTTTTATAAAATGTGTATATAAATTAAATTAATACATTACTTATTTGGCGAAAAAAGATAAAATCTTGTATTGTAGGTCTTATTTTTGTTCTTTTCTGTTTATTAGATTTATTGTAAGGTTAATTAATAATCGCAGTTGTCCTACTTTTTGTCTAATAAACACATTTTATCATTGTTTAATTATGGTTTTTTTAATTTTTTCTAATATCCTTAAATGTATTATTATAACTAGTTCCATAAAGAAAAAAATGAAGCAATTTTAAATCATCTTTATAATTGATTAACTACTAAACCATTGTATTGCAAAGCTAACTAGATATGATATTTATATTAAATGATGGCTAAATAATTTAATAAATCATTATAATGTTTTTAACAATTTTATAGTTTATACATTCATATGGAATTTTGACATTAAGTTAAAAATTTGTGTTCAAATACAATTTTTTTATCACTTGGTATCATAAATTTCCTATGTACCATTTGCTTTAAAAAACGTCCACTACATGAATGTAAAGTATTGTATGATTTTTATAGAGTATATAAAATTTAAACACATCGAATTTTATTGTTTTCTTTAAACTTTTATTCTAAAAATTCTGAGAGTACTTCTTGATTTATCAACAAATAATTAAGGAAAATTGTCAATTTGAATTTGTTATTAATAACATACTTTTTGTGTTTGTTTTTTATCGTGTAATTTTTGAGATCAGCCTAAAACCTATTAGCAGATATATATATATTTTTGTCATATACATTTTCTTTTTTTTTAGTTACACTTGCAATAGAAATTATGTATTAAAATACTTGTAACTCAATAAGTACTTTTTTTAAGTTGTTGTCAATCCATTAACATTTTTTGTAAGAAAATTCTAAAAAAATAGCTATTTATATATATTAAGAATGATAACCCGATTTTTTCTTTTAATATATATTTAATTTAATACATTTTTCATTTTTCCGTAAAAATGTATATAGGTTAAAATTAGCTTTATTTTTATCATTGTAAATATCAAATTTATTTTTAAAAAAAAATGATTTTCAACGGTAGATTAGGGGTAGCTATCAAAAGTTAAATGTGACCCTGTTTTTAAATGAAGATTAGTCTAAATAAAATTTTGATTTTTCGATAATTAATCCTGTAGTATTACTTTTCGAGATGCTAGTATTTTAAGATTTAAAAAAAGTGAGGAGCCAGGGTAGTGTTTAGCGAAGTTTTAATTTTTACTATGACGCACAGATAAAAATTCTTCAAAGTTGTGCAGCCCCCTTAACAACAAAAAATTAATACAAAACTAGGTAATCGACTAGTCAACATTTTATTAAGACCATTCTTCTATCAATATTCTTATTACATAATAAAACATTGAAAAATTAGACAATGATGGAAAATTATTTAACGATGTACAACTTTCAAATTTTTTTTTATGAAAAAGCGACGACGTTATTCTAAGAAAATTATTTGCGAAGATGAGACAGTTTTATTAACACACAGTGAGTGTTTAAAAATTTGATCAAAAACGCTTATTGCCGTCAGCGTTTTTCAATTTAAAATCTGAAATTTCTATTAGACCTACTCATAATTTTTCCAAAGGCACCCTGAAAATGTCGTTAAAATCTGTTCATTTTTGACCGAATTATGAGCTTTTTCTTTTTTTTAAGTCCACGCACAGCTTTTAGTAGGATATTATTTATTATCTGTTTAAATCATTTGAAGCCTCGAAATAATATTGAACCTATTTCCACTTTTAATTGTTTTGAACTCATAATGTGAGGGAAAATTATGATAAACAATGATATAACTGTTACGTTTGTGTAATTCTCGATATATTTGTTAAAATTACACTATTTGTGATAAAATAAACATGAATATTAAAATTATAATACTGACGTTGGGAGTTTTTAGATCATTTCTTACAGTGTTGAATTAAAAAGCGTTCGTGGTTGAGGGATTTACTATTTATTTAAAAATGTTTTTTTGTATTATTATTATTTATTTTAAATAAAAAAATCTTATCATTTTTCTTTTAAATATACATATATAAATTTATTTTAATATCATAAAATTATTATAACAAAAATTTTTAAAAATTTTGTTGATCATATATTAATACAGCTACAAATTTTGAAACAAAATTAAACAGTTTTAAATGAATACAGTTCAATGAATTATGAAGCTTTGTATCACATGCTGCATGAACATTTTTTTGACAACAGTTCTAATTATAAATACAACAGTTAAATTGTGAACATTCTATTGATAAAGACAATCACCCCTTATCTATTATTTTTCTACTTAAGATTTTTAAACTTGGGAGAGAAAAATAATTTTTGGATTTACCCATTATCATATTTGTATAGCTAAGACTAGACCAGTATATAGTTGAACATTTATAGTTATTAACAAATAAATACTTTTTGATTAAATTAGTGCATTTATTAAAAGAACTGAACTTTTATGTATAGTAAAGGAGTCATTTGTAAAAAGATATATGTTAACATATATCGAATGTTTATAAAAAGAAAACTTATAAAAAAATCGATTAAACATAATATTTAGGTCAAATTTAAAAATTGTTGAATAACAAATACATTTATCATGAAAAATTATTTAAAATTTTGTTTAAAATAGCTTGTCATTAAATGTAGTTTACATAGAAAAGCAAATAAAAAAATATAATTTTTTTCTTCAAGAAATAGATTTTTTTTCAAAATAAAATTCAATTATTTTTGTTACACTCTAAACATTTTTGTTTTCTAAATTATCTCAACAATATATTTTTTTAAACATTATTAAAAGTTATTTCCCATGTAAAAATAAATCGGTAAAACTAACCATTAATGTCGATAAGATTATCACCGTTTGAATCAAATTCCTTAATAATTTCTGATGCAATTTCACTGTTTATATTAATTTTAATCCTAACCAATTCATTCAAATCAATATAGCCATTGCGATCTTCATCGAAAATATTGAAAGCTTCTGTAATTAATTTAGAGTTTTGTTTTAAGTATTATTCTTCTTCTTTCGTTATTACGTAAATACGTTATTACGTAAAAGTATTGAGAAAATTTAACAGTTCCGTATTCTAGTAAAGATAAAATTTCAAAATTAAGATATATATCGATTTCTTAGATATTTAAAGACTACCTAAATATAATTGTATGAAAAAAATCATTAACTTCCATTGTGTTTTTGAAAGTTAATTCTATAAATTGAGTTTTTCATATTAAATAAAAAATCATTGAAAGTATATTCCATGTATTTTTAAGAAACGATTATTATTTAACGAAAAAAAAAATTTATTTTTACTAAAAATAATAATTACTATTTTNAATTTATTTTTACTAAAAATAATAATTACTATTTTTGACATGATATTAATAACATAATGTCAAACCTAAACCAACGTTGGGCCTAACTTGAACAATTTTTCTGTAAGGGTAATCCCATATTTTATTTCATAATTTTGGATAATAGACCTGAATGAAAGTTTCTCTACCACATAACTTATACCTACCTCACCTCCCCAAAAATTTAATCTATTTGGAAATCTAGAAATATTTCCTCGGTTATTAAAGCCCCTACAGTTCATATGCAATCTACGCTAATGGATATTGTTTTATAATGTATATAAAGAATTTCTAATCATTAAATTTATAAGATGCATTTAATGAACCCTTTATATAACTTTCTAAGTTTTTTTATTTTTAATTAGGGATATCTTTATAAAAATAAACTACGTTTTGTTTGATAAGGATAGATTCATGTGTAGAGATAACTGGTAGAGAAAAACAGGAACTAGATTAAAAAATGTTTTTTTGTTAAATGTTATTTGACATTTAAATGTTATAACATTTTTAAGTTGAACGTTATATTTACGTTTAATTTTTGTGAGAAGTTCAAAA